ATCAGCTCGTCTGCTTCTGCCACGTGTTTTCTGCTCCTGGCCTCCATCTTGTCAATCCCGTGCCCCATCCTTCTCCCTCCCCTTTCCATCCGTCCTGTCTTCCCTTGTTCGAGAGGCTTCGCCAATTTCACGCGTCAGTTGAGGAAGATCTACTCTCAAGGAGGTACGATCGAGGACAACGATTTCGGGTATCGATGGTTTGGGATTTACGTGTTGACCTGGCGCGCGAGCAGATAAGAGCGAACAGTCTCAACATGATGTTGGCACTCTCATTTCTGAAGACAATTGTTGTTGATCCCCTTTCCCCAGTAACCATTTTATGTTTCAAAGTGAAGTGCTCGTCCCGGGGTTCGCACTCATTTTTTTACCAGGGAAAGCGAGTGTCACCAAATTGCGCCCCTGGCCCCCAGTTTACAATAATAACGGCCTCCGCCTGATACATCCTCACAATTTGTTATCAAATCGCGCTCTCGCGTCGGACCTCCTCGCAATTTATTCAAACGCTTCGCTCTCGACACTCCGGGACCACGCTCTCACTGTTGACTTCCTCACGATGTATTTGGGAATCGTGCCGTCGCTTGAGGCTTCCTCGCGGTTCATGCAGGACGCGCGCTTCAGAAACCCGCCTGCTCGAGCTGGCCGCCCGGGCCCGCCTTCCCGACCCGCCTGTTAGGGCCTACCCGCCCGATCTGCCTGTCTGGTTCTGCCACGTGTTTTCTGCTCCTAGCCCCCCTCCTGCGACTCTCTCTCGTGCTCCATTCCTCCTCCCTCTCCCTTGTCCCTGCCTTCCATGAATCCACTCTTCTCCTGCATTCAGGGCTGCACGAATACACGTTGCAAGTAAGACAGATCTCCCCCCAAGCAGAAACGATCGAAGACGAAGAAGGTGGGTATCGAGGGTTTGGGATATACGTGTTGCATGGCACCCGAGCAGATGAGAGCGAACAGTCTTACACTGATTGTTCTTGTTGTTGTTGTTGTGGATGTTGTTGTTGTCGCCGTCCCACCCGCGTCCGTGCCCGACACCCACCCGCGACCCACCCGCGACCCACCCGCGACCCACCCCGCGACCCACCCCGCGACCCATCGCGACCCATTCGCGACCCACCCTCGACCCATCCCCGACCCGCCAGCGACCCACCCGCGACCCATCCCGCGCCCGCGACCCATCCTGCGCCCTGGGTGCAACATTCATAATCACAGGATTCAGGTTTTCTCGCCGAGGCCACTTGGGGCGTCTTGTGATGCCTCTTGGGGGTCTCTTGGGAGCCTCTTGGGGTCTCTTGGGATCCTCTCGTGGCATCTTGGAGGCCTCTTTGTGCTTCTTGGGGCCTTCTGGGCACCTTCTGATGCAGTCTTGGGGCACCCCTGGGAGCCTTGGGGGCCATCTTGGGGCGTCTTGGAAGAGATCGATCAAAGGATGGGAACTCTTCACTTTGGGTCCCCCCCCAAGGAGGCCAACATGTAGCCAACACCGTCGTAACCTACTTCATGTTGGTCTTCTCGCCGAGGCCTGCTGGGGCGTCTTGTGGTGGTGCCTCTGGGGGGCCTCTAGGGGCCTCTTGGGGGTCTCTTGGGAGCACCTGGGGGGTCTCTTGGAAGCCTCTTGGGGCCGTCCTGGGGCACCCTTGGGAGCCGTGGGGGCCATCTTTGGGCCATCTTGGAAGAGCTCGATCAAACGAAAGGGGCTCCTGCATCCGTGTGCCTCCTCCAGGAGGCCAACATGTGGCCAAAGCCTTGATAATATCAATGGTTTTGGCTTCATCGCCGAGGCCAGCTTGCACGGTCCAACGAACCGCGCCACCCCCCTCCAGACCCAGGGTGGGGGTAGGGGGAGGGGTCAAGACGCCCTCCCCGCTCGCAAGCTGTCTCGCTCACTCCCACCCGCCCTCCAAAAACATTGTCGCACCCCGGCCACGGCATGTTCAGCGGTCATCTATAGATGGGCAGCTGATGGCAACAAGTACAGACCCCATGTGCACGATGGGGCGAGGTGCGCCACGCGTGCCAGACGCTTCAGGTGTGCCGGGCACCCTTGGGGGCCCAAGCGTGCCAGGTGCGTCTCGCGCGTCAGATGCGCCACGTGCTCCACGCGCGCCATGTGTGCTGCATGGTCCAGCCGCGCCAGTTTCACCACGCCAGGTGCTCCCGCGCACATGACAGCACACATAGGGAAACATGTTCCCCCCCACCATCACTGTCGAAAACCAGTGCGCAATCGGGGCGCGTGGCCATCATGGTGCCTGGCGGGCTGTACACAGCAGGCAATATGCCTGCACCTCCGCGGTCCTTGTCAAACGCCAGTGGACAGTGATCGCGGGGTGGAAGTGCATGTTCCCCTATCAGAGCTTGCCTCTGTAGGGGTCCTAGCGGATTTATATAGGTGAGGTTCGTCGCCGATTTCGGTGGCCAGCCCCGGTGCCCGGGTGCCGGGGTGCCCGGTTGCCAGGGGTGCCCGGGTGCCCGGGTGGATGCCCGGGTGCCCAGGGGTGCCCGGAGGTGCCCGGGGGTGTCCATAAGTGCCCGTGGGTGCCCGGGGGTGCCCAGGTGCCTTGGTGCCCGTGTGCCTGGTAGCCCTATAGCCCTGTAGTTTTATAGGCCTTATCGCCCTATAGCCCAAGAGCCCTATAGCCCTATAGCCCTATAATCCTATAGACCTATATCCCTATAGCCCTGGTAGCCCCATAGCCCTGTAGCCGTATAGCCTTAAAGCCTTATAGCCCTATACATATTTTGCCTTGTAGCCCTATAGCCCTGCAGCCCTATAAACCTATAGCCGTATAGCCCTAATAACCCTATAGCCCTGTAGTCCTAATAGCCCTTTAACCCTATAGCCCTATAGCCCTATAGCCTCACAGCCTCATAGCCCTATATAGCCCTATAGCCTGATAGACCTATATCCCTACAGCCTTATTGCCCTATAGCCGTCTGGCTCTATAGCCCAATAGCCCTATAGCCTTATAGCCCTATAGCCCTGATAGCCCTACAGCCCTATAGCCCTATACTATATCCCAATAGCCCTATAGCCCTGAAACTATGATTGAATCGCTTCGCTCATTCCGCCGGCCCGTGATATGGCATCGCTGGTTTTTGTCTGTGTGTTCGTTGCCCATGTTGCGCTCTTGGGGGCGGGTGTCGTTCGGACGCGTTGCGTGGGGAGTTTTGATGGTGAAGCAGTTCCCTGGGGGTCGTCTCTCGATGGGGCGAAATAGAGTCGTCGTCAAGATGCTTCTTTGGGGGGCCTCTTGGGGTCTGTTGAGAGGCCGTTCGGGGGCGCCTGGGAGACATGTTTGAAGCCTTCTGGGGCTTCTTTTGGGCCTCCTGGGAGTCTCCTGGGGCCTCTTGGCGACATCTTGGGGCCTCTTGGAGGCCTCTTGGGGCCTCTTTGGGACCTCCTGGGCGCCTTCTGGGACGGAGGGCTCCATTTTTGAGTTCTCGGTATCCCTCCTGAGTCCCTCTTGGGCCCGTCTTGGGGCCTCTTGGTCCGTCTTGGGCGGCACTTGGGCCGTCTTGAGGGCTCTCTTGGGTCGTTTCGGCGCCGTCTTGGGAGCTTCGTGGGCCGTCTTGGAGCGGTCTTGGGGGCCTCTTGGGCCGTCTTGGAGCGTCCGGAAGCCGAAAAAGCCAGAACACAAAAAACATCGAAAAAACCAATGACAATCAACGATTTTGGCCTCTTGGGGCTCTCTTCGGAGGCCTCTTGGAAGGCTCTTGGGGCGTCTTGGAGGCCTCTTGGGCTGTCTTGGGGGCCTTTTGGGCCGTCTTGGGGTCATCTTCGGCGTCTTCGAGCGCTCTTTGGGCGTCTCGGGGGCCTCTTGGGCAGTCTTGGGGGCCTCTTGGGGCACTCTGAGCGCGCTCTGGGGAGCCTGAGAGGCCGCACCCAGAAGGAAAACCATCTCTGAGTAGACTTGGTCGGGCGGCGACCGGGCGTTGGTCGGGGTACTTTTCGCCGGGGGACCCCCAGGGGCCGCCCCGCGCGCGCGAACTAGAAATACTGTTAATACTGTTAACCAGTTACCGGAGATCTTAGCACGCCCTGGCCCGTTGGGCCGGCGAATTCATGGTCTTTTTTTCCGGTATCATTGTATTGTTTTTTCATGGTATTGGCCTCTCGCAAGGCAGGCAAGATGAGGGCACCCCCGCCGTCTTGGTCAGCAAACATAATACAGTGTTGCGGGGCCCACGAGCATGACCCAAGATTTTGCCCCAAAGTGTGATGGTTCGTATTGTCTTTTTGACAGGGCTGGGGTCGTATTGGTGTTTTTTGGCTGCTGGTCGCCTGGGGAGAGGGTGTTTAGTAATGGGGAAGAGTGGTAAACCCACCCCGAAGTGGAAGAAGGATTGGAAGAGGAAACGCTCTGAACCACTCACGCCCTGAGGGGCTGGTGGGATTTCTGGGCAAGGCACACGGCGACCACATTGCACGACAGTGCACATCACGGCAGTGCTGCGAAACATCGCGACCACCGGGCATAGCACGACGCAGTACCGTAGCGGCAAGGCGTTTCGCAACCGATTCATCGCATGTTTCGGCATGTCGCATGGCACCACAAGTGGCACCACGACGGCAGGACACCGTGCATGCGGATCCGTTTTTTGGCATGGGGCAGGCAAACGGGATAGGCAGTACTTTGCGGCATGGCGTTGCGAATCATGATTTCAAGTTCCGCTCAGACGGTTCATGACATTGGACAGCTAAACTCAATGTCGAGCAATATCTTGTTCGTTTGCCCTCCTTCTCTTCTTGCTTCATCTTCTGCTCCTCATCCCTGCTCACTTTCTCTTTCCCTCCCTCCCACCCCTGTCTCGAGCATGGCGGCGCATGGCGTTGTACCTGGCGCGGGGCGACCGACTTAGTTATTGAGCCAGCTGAAGTAAGCCAGCTGAAGTAATGCACCGCGCGGCGCCGCTGACTCCACACGGGCAACCGGATTCGCTTTTTGGCAGGTTTTGCCCTTCCCATGTTTCTCCTGTTCCTCCTTTATCCACCTCTCCCTCGGCAGGCCAGTGGCTCCACCAAGGCGCCCAGCTCGAGGCCTCCCGCGGAGAAGCCGCTGGTGGCCGAGGCACCGCTGCTCGCCACATGGAGTGAACACAGTTTCCCGCCCCCCAGTCTCTTAGGGGGATAGGTTGAGGGGAACTGAGGTGCAGGCATGCAAAGTTGTTGCATTCATGTTTCAACTCACATCCCCAACTTGGCATTTGCTTTGCTTCCGAACGTTCCCTGGCTGGCAGGACTAGGGAGTGCAAAGAGTGAACGCTTCGCCTGCGCACCCTCTCTGCACTCGTGGCGCCCCTGTCGAAGGCGTCCGCGGCGAAGACGCCGGTGCCGAAGGCGTCCGTGCCGAAGGCGTCCGTGGCGAAGACGCCGGTGCCCAAGGTGCCCGTGTCGAAGGTGCCCGCGGTGAAGACGCCGGTGGCCAAGGTGCCCGTGTCGAAGGCGCCCGCGGCGAAGACGCCGGTGGCCAAGGTGCCCGTGGTCAAGGTGTCCATCGCCAAGGTCCCAGCGGGTAGAGCGCCGCTGGGGGGTGGGCGCCCGCAGCCACAGAGACAATGGAAGGCGAAAGTATGTGAGAAAGCAGATTGAGGCGTCCCTTTGCAAGAACTTTGGCTTCGGCACCGCCTGTATCCGAGGCTATGCCTCCTCTCGGCCTCGCTCTGAGGCCCCGCCGCTTCCTCCCCCCCTTGTCTGCCTAATTCAAGCTTCGCGCCGCCCGCTTAGCTTGGACCGGAAGAGGTGCGCTCTCGACCCGCGTATCAAAAAGTGTGAAAGCATATTGACCTGAGGGACTCTCACTCGTACGATTGCTGTTGGCCTCTGGCAGACTTCTCGCGACCTGCGCGCTGGTTCGTCGACCAAACTGTGCTAGGGTGTGCTGTGCGGTGTCACTCTCGGTTGTGCAGTGCTGCACTGCTGCGCTGTTGTGCACAGTGTTCGGCTACCGAATGATCTATCAACTCATGAGTATGTTTCGTGTACACGCTGTCAAGCTATGCAGTGCTCTCGTGTTGTGCAGTCATGAAGTATATACACACATATATGTATGTGTGCGTACTTACATATACATATGTATACACACGATACCCCCCGCGCCCCCTAGCCCCATCGAGGCGTTTTGTATATCCGTTTGTCTTTCTCGTTATCTCTTGTTCCCTCATCACCATCATCAGCATCATCACCATCAGTATCAGCATCATCATCATCATCCTCATACTCATAATCCGCATCCTCATCCCCATCCTCATCCTCTTCCTCCTCCTCCTCCTCCTCCTCATCATCATCATGCTCATCATCATCCTCCTCCTCATCATCAGCGTCATCATCAGCATCTCGGACCCGAGATCCCTTTGCGCGTGCTGGTCAAAGAGAGAGCGCGCTGGGCCCCCCGCCCCCGACCCCCTCACCGTGTCGCGCGGGGCACGCCGCACGGCGCGTTCCACCCCCTGGCGAGAGGCGACCTTGCCGCCACGGGCCGCCGCCCACCCTCTGCCCTCGGCGGCGCTCGGCTGCCGACGGCCGCATCCTTAGAGCCACTTCGCCGCGCAAAGCCAGCGCGCCCGAGGTGCTTGACGCGCGCGGGGCTGGACGCGAGGAGGGCGGCTAGGCGAGCTTGCCGCTCTGCTCCCTCCTCTCCCCCCCTCCCCTCCCCTCCGAATTTGCGGATGCAGGGAGCGCTCCTGCCGGGGTCGCGCGAGGGGCTGCGGCGTCTCGCACAGTGCTGGTTTTGGAGTGGAGTTTAACAAAAAACAATCGTCCAAAAGCTGGGCCTTCTTCGCATGCACCCTCCCACGCTGGAGCCTCTTTACCCCTTCCCCTTCTTGCTCTTCACGCCGCCCGCCTTGGAGTCCAGCGGCTTCTTCACTTCCTTGGCCAGCCTCGACTGGGGAGCTTCGTCCTCCATCGCCTCCATATCTCGACTACACGTAAGAGTGATCTCTCGCCGGAGTGACCTTCGGTGCGGGCCCACTGGGGCCCCCCGATCGCCGAACGCGATGCGGCAGTGGCGTCTTGCGCGCTCGTGTTTGGTCCCCCCGCGGTCCCCCAAGAGGCCGCGCACCAAAGGTCACTCTTACCTAGGGTCACTCCTGCGTGTAGTCGATATCCACAAGCCTCAGCGCCTTCGTGTCCTTCAGCTCCTTTGCCATCGCCGCGAGCTCCGGGACGCCCTGGAGCGCAACGGACCCCTCCGCCTCGGCTACGACGGAGAAGCAGCGCGCAGCCCGCAGAGCCCGGTTGTCCTTCTGAGCCATCCCCATCTGGTTCATGCGCCCAGCACCTCGAGCGCCTTCTTGGCCGCCTCCGCCTGCCCTGGGGACTTGCTGCACCGCCGCCTGCGCCATGGACACGCCATCCTGCGAGATCGCCTCCGCCACTTTCCGCAGCAGCAGCCGGAGGAGGCGTCCGGTTTCTTGCCGTTGGGGTTGCCCCTGCATTCCTCGTCTTGGGCCTCGGCCGCCTCCCGCGCCTGCTTGCCGTCCTTGGTGTACTCTTCCAAGCCCTTGGACATCTGGGTCGCGACGACCGCGTCCTTCATCTGGAGCGCGACGTCATGGTCCCTGGCCATCGACCGCCTCTCGCCCTCGTGGATCAGAGCCCGCGCCGCCACGGCGTCGAGCAGCTTGACGTTGAGGTCGTCGTCCTCCGTGCCCTTCCGCTTGCGCCCCTCCTCCACTGCCATGGCCGCGCCTGCGGAGTCGTCCCCGAACATTGGCACTGTCCTGCGCAACTGCACCCGCGGACCCGTGAGCAACTCCAGGTTGGGCTCGAGCCACGACGGCAGCGGGCACGCCGAGCATGACTGCGACCTTGCTGCTGCTACCTCCTCCTCCTCCTCGTCCACTGCTGCTGCCGTGGCCGCTGGTGTCACATATTTCGATCGGTCCCCCGGGGTGACGTCTGGTCCGTGGTCGGTTCCCAGGCGTTGCTTTTCGATTTCAGTCAGAACCCAGATCTGCTCGCCCTCCACCTCTCCCATGTCCGTCAAGTCCTGTGCTTGGTCTGTCTTTGGACGTTGCGTTTGGGTTTCGGTCAGCCTCCAGATTTGCTCGTCCTCCCCCTCATCCTGGTCCAGCGTGCGGTCGGTTCCTTGACGGTGCGTTTGGAGTATGGGCAGTCCCCGCTCCTCCTTGCCCTTGTCCTCCTTCTGCTTCATTTCCTCAGCAGCATCATCATCAGCATCAGCATCATCAGCATTATCAGCATCATCAGCAGCATCAGCATCATCATCAGCATCATCATCATCATCATCATCATCGTCATCATCATCAGCATCATCACCAGCAGCATCATCACCACCATCACCATTATCATCATCACCATCATCATCATCACCGTCGTCGTCGTCGTCGTTATCCTCTGTTCCCTCGTCCTCCTCATCCTCCTCCACCACAAAGCTTGGGCAGTTTTTCTGCTGCTATTCTCAGTTTTTTGTGCATCGGTTGGGGAACCACCAACCGCTGCTACTCACAGGTTGTTCATTGGTAAATCTTTCAGTTGTTTTACAGACAGCGCCATGACGGCTTGCGGGAGGAGCGTGCCACCAAACGTTGCCATGCACAGCCTGTGTTTTTCGTTGCCCGATCTGGGAAGCCACCAAGCGCTGCTATTCACATGTTTGGTTTTGATTGTCTTCCAGGAGCTCTACAATCACTGGCGGGGAAACATTTGCTCATCCCCTGAAATTGAAACCACAACATAAAACCAGTGTGAATAGCATCGGTTGATGGTCTCCCTGTCCGAAAACAAACAATACACGAACACATGTGAATAGCAGCTTTTCGTGGCCACGCTCCGCCTGAAAGCCTTCCTGGCGCTGTTTCTGAAAGTCAAAACCAGGCACACTGTGAATAGCAGCTATTCGTGGTCTCCCAAACCGAACACAAAAGAACATGCGAACAGCAGCGTTTGGTGGTCATGCTCCTATGCCGCCCCGCCTCCTGCTCCTCCTCCTCCTCCTCCTCCTCCTCCTCCTAAAAAAAAAACCGAGCTTCGTGCCCTCCTCCTTAAAAAAAAAAAATCCTCCTCCTCCTCCTCCTCCTCCTCCTCCTCCCACACCCCCTCCTCTAGAAGGGGGGGAGGAGGAGGATGAGGAGGACGAGGAGGAGGAGGAGGAGGAGGCAGAGGAAAAGGAGCCAGAGGAGGACGACGAAAGGTAGGAGTACTCGGGGCCCGAGGACGTATTCGGAGCCTGTTGGCGTCCCAGGTGGCGCTCTCCTGGAGCGTTGTCGAGGCTCGTCGGGTGCTCTTTGGGTGCCTCTTGGGGCCAGTTTGGGGGCTCTGGGGGCCATCTTTTTTGGGGGGGGCTCCCGGGGCCTCTGCGGGTCCGCCTCCCGGGCCTCTCTTGGGTTTACTTTCGGGCCATGCCGTCTGCTGCGGGCAAGACTTATTGTAGTCGCCTCCGGCCAGTGCCGCCGATCTGGGGTGCTACCGATTCTGCTTGCAACGGAGGACATTGCATGTTTAAAAGAAGAGCACTCGCTCGAGACATCCTCATAAGATAGAGATGTTGAGCTCGCTTGGGCAACCGTCGGATATTCGAAAGTGACGACTTCTCCCTCCCGGGCCTGATCGGCGTCAGCCATGGCGTCACGGCTCCTTTCCTCCCCCCCTCCAGATCCCTCCCCTGGGCCTGAATGGCGTCTGCCATGACGTTAGCTCCCCTCCCCGACTTCCTCCTCCTGGGCCTGAATGGCGTCAGCCATGGCGTTCCCCCCCCCTCGCCTGCCCATGGCGTTCCCCCCTTCCCCCTCCTCCTCCCTCCCGTGCCTGAATGGCGTCAACCCCCCCCTCCTTCTTCCCCCCGAGCGAAGCCCCCCCCCTCCTCCCCGGGCCTGAATGGCGTCAGCCCCCCCCCCTCCTCCCTCCCGGGCCTGAATGGCGTCAGGCCCCCCACCCCCTCCTCCCTCCCGGGCCTGAATGGCGTCAGCCCCCCCCACCCACCCCCGACAGAGCGAAGCCCCCCCCCCCACCCTCCTCCCTCCCGGGCCCGAATGGCGTCAGGCCCCCCCCCATCTATCCCCTCCTCCCTCCTCCCCATGGCCTTCCCCCCCCTCTCCCCTCCTCCTTCCTGGGCCTGCATGGCGTCAGCCCCCCCCCCGACAGAGCGGAGTCGCTGGCAGAGCTAGTACGGGAACCAGCTCGCGCACGTGTTGTCTTTGGGCGCTCTCGCTAGCTCTCCGGCGAACGCCCCCGGGGAGCCAGACCGTGTGGCCACGTCTCGAGGAGGGAGGGCCTCGCGGCCATTTGCCGGGCAGTGCCCACGGTCACTTGGCCACGGCAGCGCACGACAGAAGTTGGGTCGGGCCTGTCCCCCCACAGGGGGATTTTCGACGAACAATGTACAAATACAGCAAAAATAATCTAAACATAGTCCAAAAATAGTCTGGGGACTATTTTTTGAGTGCTTTTTGACCTTCTTGGGGTATTTCTGGGGCATGTTTGATTTTTCGTCGAAAATCGCCCTGTAGGGGGACGCCCGACATAAGGCAAAAGTGGTGTGGGGGCGTGCGCACGGCGCTGCGGGGATAGGGCGAGGACCCAGCAGCACAGGAACCAACGAGCCAGAACAAAATCTTGCCACGCATCGGTCGCGGCTCATCTCGTCGGGCCTCTCGCTCCAGCCGACGCTGTAGCCAGGAGCGGCGCTCCCCTGCCCATCCTGGTACGTCCAGTGTCTCCTTCGGTTGCTGCGTCTGCGTCGTCATTCGCTTCACCTTGTCCACCACCCAAATATCCACGTCTCCGTCCAGCGTAAACGTGCATCGCCGTCCCAGCACCGCCCCGAACATAGCTAGTTGTGTGTCTCTCAGTTTTCGAAACTCTCTGCTGTTTCCACACGGACAGTACAGCACGGCCAGGGTCACAACATAATGCAAACCATCCATTCGTTGTTTGGTAGTGGTTTGTCTGTCCAGTCTTCCAAGTACGCACCATTTTTTTCTTCTGCCAGGGCGTCAGCTCAGTGTCATTGGCGCTCGGTGCCGTGGGCGCTTGTCACCATTACGGGAGCGTTGGGGGGAAAGGACGGCATCCGTTCTAAGGACATTCTGATCACCCCTCAGGGTACTCTTGCATTTTGGTTTCGCATATGAGTCTGTTGCTGCATCGTCGCCTTGCAGCATGTGTGGTGCCCGCCCCCTCTTGATTGGTAGTCCTGTAGCTCGTCCTCGTGGTCTGGCTCCCTTTTCCTTTTTCCTCCGCCGCCTGTTATGCTCCTCGTTCCCCCCTCCTCCGCGTCGAACCATCATCCACCCATTCTCCTCCTCGTCCCCCCCCTGGACGAGGATGGAGGCGAGGTGTGTAATCTTTACGCGTGCTCTTTTAGGTACGGTCGTCTTCACTGCTCCTCCAGCCGTCCATTCTGCGCCTTCTCTTACGCTCGTGTTGGCGGCAAAGGTCCCCGTCGCCACGTCCAAGGACGCGGTGGCCAAGGTCCCCGTCGCAAAGGCCCCGGTGGCCAAGGTGGGGGTCAAGGTCGCGGTGGCCAAGGTGGCTGTCAAGGTCGCGGTGGCCAAGGTGGCTGTCAAGGTCGCGGTGGCCAAGGCCCCTGTTGCCAAGGTGGCTGCCAAGGCCGCCGTGGCCAAGGAGTCACAGTCTGGGCGGCCACGGACTTAGCGCCCACGCGTCCGCTTGGAGGCAGCAAGAGGCAACCTCCGCACGAGGTTCCAGAGTGGTTGGGGGGAGCAGGATAGTCAGATGGGGAAATATTGATGAGCAGAAGCGGGACGGGAGCGACTTGCAGGAAGCGCGTGAGGGGGAAGGGTGAGGAGGAGCAGCAGGAGGAAGGGCATGGAGGGGGGCATGAGGACAAGCTTAGGTGCGCTCGCGCCAGATCTGACACCTCACCCCTCCCGGCCAGGCCTTCCCATTAAGAGAGTGTTCTATATCCGCCGACGGGTGTCATACAGTCGGTGCGCGGAAGAAGGAACCTTTTTCGTTTGGGAGGGGCTCCGTGTTCCTGGGTTGTTTGACTGTTTGCCTTAGTTTGACCTTCGGTGTTCGAATGGAAATCGAGTTTAAACTTCAGGAAAGAAGGGGCCTCGTTCCTTATTTATCGTTCCTTAGGTTAACGCCCCGACTGTAGCGGACCTGGAACCCACCAAAGGACCCCATTGCGTCATTCGCAATCACAAGATGGTGGCTGCGGACATTGGAGGAGGAGGTGGCAAATGAACGAGAGGATGGCCCGGGGAAAAAAGGGGGGTGAGGAAGGAGGGGATGATGAGGAACAGCTGCTGTAGGAGCAGGAGTGGGAGGAGTGGGAGGAGCACAATGAGCGGGGAAAGGCGGGGGACGAAACAGGAGCGGGGCGACAACGATGAGGAAGTATTCAGATTCAGAAAGCATTTTGCGGGTGCTGGGGCGAGAGGGCCATTTTATTGAACGATGATGGGAGCAAAGCGTCGATACCTAAGATGAGGCCAGCGCTGCAGCGGGAGCACCACCACTCTGAGACACCGAGAACGTTCCGACAAATTAGTGACTGGACCTAGCAATGTTTGAAATCCTGTGTGGACACGGGCGCGGGGTGTGGGGGGGAACGCTCCACGCCCACGAGAGTAGCACTCTTGTTGGCTAAGGGGTGCGAGTTCTGGTTGAAGGGAGCAGCGTCGGGAGGAGTTGGAATGCAGGTGGGACGCATGGTCGTCCGCACCGCTCGGTCGTCGAAGTCCGAGACGAAGGAGGGGTATGCGCTGCCACAGGCCCCCTCCTCCTCCCTTCCTCCGCGCTCCCTTCCCTTTCTCCCCCCCTCTTCCTCCACCTCCTCTCCTCCTCCTCCTCCTCCTCCTCCTCCTCCTCCTCCTCCTCCTCCTCCTCCTCCTCCTCCTCCTCCTCCTCCTCCTCCTCCCCCCTCCCCTCCCTCCTCGTCTTCCTGCTCCTCTCCCGCCTCTTCCTCCCGCTTCCCTCCCCGCTCCCCGCTCCCTCCTCGCCCCATCAGCAGCTGCGCGCGGCGGCCGAGTACCTCCCGAGTGCACCGCGGCATCGCCAGGCGTCTTGCGTGCTCCGACTCGGTTCCAGTCAGGGCTGGGCCTAAAGGTCGTCTTTCTTTTTGTTTTCGTTTTTGTTTTTCGGTTTTCTCCACCTTTTTTATTGTACCCCCTTGCCAAAACGAGAAACAAAACGCAGCCGAAGTCCAGCAAAACAGCGTTTAGGTCCAGCCCTGGTTCCGGTCGTCGTAGAGGCTGGTGCACGATGAGCTTGCTATTTCTAGAGTCTTGCTATCCGCGACCGACTGTCTTCGCACCACGGGTCGGCGCAATTTTCGCGTCGGGCACCTCAGGCCATTGATCGCATTGGGTTGAGAAGATCATTTGGACCCCGCGGTGCCCGTGAGCGTTTGCTCTCGAATAGGACCCCCCACTGCGATCACATGTATTCGATATTTCGGCATCAGCATGAAGCGCTTCTCAATATTGGGCAGCTGTAGCGTCTGGATATGCACCGATGTGTCTCAGCCTTCATGGGGTTCGATGAGGTTTGGAGTTGATCATTGCGAGATGGGAGCTTCCGCAGATCCTCGGCACAGCTGCTTTCGGCAGAGGAAGGTATTGTTCGTGGTCGTCCCGCTTGGGGATAGATCGCGTGGCTGTACGCCCGATTGGCTGAACTGTTATGTCAATTATTCGCCTGTCTTTCAAGCGCCAGGCCATCGACCTTCCAGAAAGTCGACGTTTGTTTATTTTGAACTTTACCGAGGACTCGCTGAACCCGATATCGGATACCCGATCGAGCTATTTCAAGGATCTGTCTCGGCTCCTGTGCGCGAAGCCTCCGCAGCTCTGGGCCGCGATGACACTTAGGCCTCCACGGCCACGGGCTGGGCTTGACTTCGACCAGATGGCGGTGCAGGCCAAGAGAGGGTGTAACGAAAAGAAAGATGCGTGGGGGCAGGAGAGCAGGAATATGGAAAGGCAACACTAAGAACAGACAAAAGAGGAGGAAAAAGGAGGAGGAGGAGGAAGAGCAAGAAGAAGAGGCTGGAGAACTGGACACGGGAGGAGGGCATGTCGGGGCAGGGAGATCGGAGAAGGGAGAAGGGAGGGATGGATTGTACAACGAAAGCCTGGGGAGGTAGGAGTTTGGACTCACGGAGCAAGCTGAGAACCAGATCGAGATCCTTACGAGCCAGCCGTTGTTCCGGAAACACGTGTTCAGACGTCCTGCAGGAAAGAGGCAGGGCCCACGCACCACAGAGGGTTGATTGTTGACAGCATTCCATCGTTTTTTTTGTATCCGGTCCAGTGCCAGCAAGTGGCACGCTCAGTCACGCTGGCGCATGCAGTCCATAAGTTAGCGCGTCTTGGCGTAGCCGTCCAGGGAGCAACCGGAAAAGGACAGAGCTGTTCAGGCCGGCTCGTGAGCCGTCGCTGGAGACGGTGCGTAAGCGCAGAGCGAATCGATGCTTGTCCGAGCAGTTCTGCCTTGCTGACCGTACAGCGGGCGGGCTTCCCTGCCCCACGCTTTGCCCACGCTTCAACTGCAGTTTCTGTGCCAGGCATGGTGTCGGGCGTTGCCAGAAGTTGTTCTCCGCGCGGTGCACTGGGCTGAGTGGTTGACTGGCTACACCCATTAGGCTGGCGAGTCCGCATTCTATGCCGCAGCCGAAAGCAGGCGTTTTATGTTCAGTTTTTTTTGGGGGGGCGCCAAGTGCGCAACCACTTATGGATCCACTAGTAGACCATGATTTCCCGGCCGTCGAGTGCAGAAACCCACGGTGCAATCAATTGCAGGCAGTTTACTATCGGCCGCCGAGTGGGCAAAGGCATGCTGTTTCACTATCGG